AATGAAGTGACGTCAACTAAGGAATTGATCCAGACTTTTCACATTGTTTMCGCTATGCTGTTCTTGGTTGAAGAGCTCAAATCATCAATCATAGTAATAATTGAGAGCTGAAAATGCTTTTTCAAGTGTAACAAAAAGAATAACGTCCTCTTTCATGATTTTGTATATTAAATCATTCCTTAGTAGACGTCACTTCATTTGCATTTTCTAAGTTTCAATTGCCCATAACTTAGAAAATACAATTTAAAATCAATTTCTTTCTTCACAGATGTACTTAACAGAATTTTCTCTTTTGAATGAGAATCAATTTCTAATGGTGTCATGTGCACTTTAACGACATCTAGTCTACCGGATATTAATTACATGACCTTTTGGTCAAAATTTGGATTTCTATCGTTTTGAAGTCGTTGCAGAGAGCAGTCAAAAAGGGTATTGTATCTTGTGAATAAACGGTAATTCTTGCTTTTACTATGTATTAGAAGTAAAAAAATATAATAGTCTACGTCATCATATACATTCAAAAATAGCTAGTCCGACTTCACGCTCCAAGAGCGTCTAGTTGTTTGGAAGGTTATACTTGTACGTTGTTTTATCAACGCTGCTGCGGGATCGTTGAGGTCGGTGCAGAATATCCCTTTTTTAACCATAAAAAAAGTTAAACGAAAAATCCACATTTGATGTAAATATGATATAAGTGTCCAAAATGATGTAATTACATCATATTTACATCAAATTTACAACCTTTTTTCCAGTGACATCTAGCTCCTCGACTACTAGCCTTTAAACCCCATTTTGTCATGATTGACAGGTGATATGTTTGTACGTAACTGTAGCTGTGCAGCGGCATATTTAGAGGACTTAGAGGGSGCTACGAGGAAGGTTCTCGTGACAGATTTTCAAAGTCAAAAATGCAAGTGCAACTGCGTTCTCAGGCAGGTAAATGGTCAGTCACTGCTGAGAAAAGGTTATATGCATAAAACATTCAAACCAAAAACATTGACATATTTTTATATGTTCTATTACTTTATATTTTCCTTCTTTATACACACACTCTCAATAAAATTCCACCTGATAAAATTCTATTTCTCAAAACTTTATTCCGCAACAATCGTAGATTCAAATCAATTGCTTGGGCTCCCTGTGCTGCTAAACCGGTCATACGTGTTTTCAATATCATCCAATCAGCATCGAGTATTATTTTCCCGCCTTTATCTGTTGTGTGACTCGTGCGCGAGCGTCAGTTTGGTTTGTGAGTTTGAGGTCGTCACAGTTCTCTTGGTTTGCTTGTCGTTTTGTTGGATATTTTATGCTCAACTTACACTTAAATTGTGAAGATATCATGCTTCAAAAATACCTTGACAAACGGTAAGTGATTTTCACTTAGTATTGGTCTAGTCCGTATTTAAGACTTTAAATAATAAAAACATTGTTTTAAAGAGTGATTGTTTTTCATTTTTCTAGGTTGACTGTCAAGGCTAAAATGCAAGACCAGATAGCAAAGGTTTGGTATCAAAATACCACTAAAACATATTTCACCATTTACATGTATTTGTTCGTAGACAATTAACTAATCTTTGTAATTCTTTTATTCGGTATTCAAGCTTTTGCAAAATTTGCTATTTTCTGAAACTGAAAAGCTATGAAAATAGTCCAATTTTCACTTCGTTTTTTAAGTTTTACCTTTGAATATA